CGTCAGTGGTCTGCGTAACATTGCCTGCTTGCGTTGCCAAGGCGCGACGATTGATCAGCCCCCCCTTTGCTTCAGTGCTTGGCGCGCTGTTGAGAACTTTCGTCCTTGTCGTCGTATCTCATCTGTCTTTGATCCCCCCAACGGGGGGGGCGGATCTTTGCCTGGGGGGTGGCTGCCGAAGGGCGGAACAGTTCGCGACGGGTGGGCGCGGCCCCAGAAAGTTGCCAGGACGGAGCCTGGGAGGATGTTGGGGACGATTTTCGGGGGCGTCCAGGAGGGAGGTGAGGATTAGGGTTAAGTCGAGGAGTATTCAAAAATACGATGTTCGACTATTGTTGAGTATTTTCTATTGACCAGTTCTAAATCTTCCTCCCAAACTCTCCTGTAGGAGGACATGCCCGACCTACGATTAGGGTGTGTGTGTGTGTGTGTGTGTGTGTGTGTGTGTGGATGCCATCATGGCTGGGGCCATGACGCCTCCCAGATGTCATGGCTCCCTCTGTTTCTTTCCAGACGTTCCCTGGCCGCCACTCGACTCGACCACGCACACGCCTCGGGTCAAGGTGCGCCCCCCCCCCCCCCCCCTTTTGCCTGGTCCGCCTGTTCTCGGGGCACCCTGGATTTTGAATGGGGTTCTGTCCGCTAGATGCGTTTGTCTTGAAGCCTGAGCGGGGCAGGCCTGGGATTGGTATACATCGCGCCACAGCGCTCGGGTGCTCTCTCAGAGCGTTCTGGGACGCCCTCAGGACGTTCCGGAGCGCTCTGGAACGGCCGCGGCGCCCCCCATATGTCCTCGAGACCCGCTAGTTCTCAGAGATCTCCGATTTCTCCCGATCCGAATTCGTCCTGACCTTGGCTTCGTCTTAAGCGCATGGACCAGCGGGCCCGCCGCCCTTGGCTCAAGCCGTGGAGATCTGTGCCCAGCCGACGTGCAGCACACCGCCGCCTTCCAGAAAGAAACCGTCTTTCAACCAAGCACGATGTTCCGTATCGGAGGCCTCAAGCTCTGCCTCGTCGCGGCGCTGGCGTTGGCCCCGGTGGCGACAGGCGCTCGGGGGGGAGACAGTGTGCCAATGACACGTTGCCGTTGGTAGCCCGTCAAAATGCTACTCCATCGCTATTTGTCCAATGGAGCTTCAAAGCCTGGTGATTCCCCAATCGGTGTCTGCACTGGAGGGGTCCTAGCGGATCTTGAAGGATTTGGCGAACGAACGTAGGTGGCCGATTTCGGTAGGCGGCCGGGTTCCCAGGTTCGTGGTTCCGGGTTCCTGGGTTCCTGGTTCCAGGTTCCAGGCCGATTTCGGTGGGCGGCGGGGTTTCTGGGTTCCCGGGCTCCTGGTCGAATCCCACCAGCCCTCTGGGCGTCGGTGGTTTAGAGAGTTTCTTCTTCCACCCCTCCTTCTTCCCCTTCGGGGAGGGGTTTCCCCCTCCCCCTACCCCCTACCCATGGACCTGGACAGGGGGTTCCGCGAGGTGTCGGAGCGTCCAAAACGGCCTCGGCGAGGAAGCACAAATCATTTGTGTTACTAGGGTTATGGCCCCATTTTGGCCTCCTGGGGGGGCGGCGTAATTAAGGACCCCCCCTTCGTTGACCGATATCATCCAAGATGGTCCCAAGAGAGCCCCTAAAGCTTCCAAGAACGCCCCGACAAGGCCCCCAAATGAGCCCAGACGGGCCCAAGAGGCGCCCAGGAGGCCCCAAGGGGCCCCAGGATGGCCCCAAGATAGCCCAAAAATGGCCCCAAGAGACCCCCAAAAGACTCCCATGAGGACCCCAAGCGGCCTCCCCGAGGCATCCAAGATGCCCAAGAGTCCTCAGGACCGCCAAGAGACCCGTGAGACGTCCCAAGAGGCTTCAAAACAACTGCCCACGAGATATCCCAAGGGGCTCCGAGAGGCATTCAAGAGACCTCCAAGAGACCCGAAGAGGCTTCACGAGGATCCCCGAAGCCCCCAAGAGACGCTCCAAGAGGTTTCCAAAACTACCCCAAGAGACATCCTAAGAGGATCATATGTCCGCCCTGTTTCCTCCTCCTTCTCCGTGTTCTTCTTCTTCTTCTCCTCCGCCTCTCCTCCTCCTCCTTCTCCTCCCCCTTATCCGTCTACTCATCATCCGAGAACCAGCACCATCAGCTACAACAGCAGCAGCACTAGCAACAGCAACAGCAGCAGCAGTACCAGCAGGAGCAAGAGCACCAGCAAAAACACTTGCAACCTTCACCACACAAGATCTCCCAATTCACCGTTGTTGCCCGCTCCAGTTCACTATGTGAGTCTCTTCTTCCCTTCTTCCGTCAGCTTTCCTGGGCATCGTTTCTGGATGGGCTGGTGGGGATACTCTTTTTCTCGCGGGCGCAAGCGGACGCGCAGGCGCCGAGTCGAAAGGTCCGGGCCACGGGCCGATCTAATTGGCAACGCGCAAGCCGAGAGGCACAGCGACCGTGCGCTGGTGGGGATACTTTTTTGATCTGCGGCTCCAAGGACGATTCCAGAGAGCGGGTAGTATCGAGCATGGGGGGACACGCCAGATAATTATCAGCGGGCCAACAGCCAGCGCCGAAGTGCAAGCAAGAGCATGAAAAACACGCCAGAGAATTAAAGGAAGCACACTAAGCCGGACAGGGGCAACGGTAGACACGAAGGCCAGCGGAAGGTCGCACAGTGGCGCCAGCTCCCGAGGCGCAGGCCAGCGAAAGACCGGGGGGGAACGCGGAGAGAAGCACGGACGGGCGAGATAATTACCAGCGGGCCAAAAGCCAACGCCGGCGGCTTGCGGGGACCAGGAACCCTCAATCGCGGAGCCACTGAGGCTCATGGACAGTTCCACGTCACCAGTATGTGAGGCACCGCAGAGCACGGCCACAGAGGGGGCGTGTGCCTTCCCGCCGACAGCACCACATGGAGGTGAGCCCAGGCGAGCAGACTGCGTCCGCAACCGATGCCCGCGAAGAAGACGTCGTCAGCGCCTGCCAATGGGGGGTGCCACAGCAGAGACGTGAAGGGTGGAACGATGGGGCGGGCCTTAGGCCGACGTACCCATGCGCTCGGACGCCCGGGCGGGCGAGGCGGGCCCATGCTCGAGAACCAGGCCAAATCCCTTCGCGCGCGCGGGTTATTTCAGCCAGCGCCACACGGGCTAAGTCACGGTGCGCCGTGAAAGAAAAGTCGCAACCACGCCATAGCGGTGCCCCATATCCAGAGGGGAATGCAACGTGGGCGACGACCTGTCGCTGAGATGAACCTGGTGGGGATACGCGAAGCGTCTAGAATTTCTTTGCGATCGGCCCCACCATCGATCTTATTACTCACCTCTCTCTCGATCTCACCATCGATCTCATAGTCGATCTCACAGCTACCTCACTAGATCACCCGAGCGATCTCACGATCGATCTCACTATCGATCCCATTGAATCGACTTCAGTCTTGGTCTCACGATCCACCTTACAATTGTCCTCACTATCGTTTCTAATATCGATCTCACAATCGATCTCAATATCCATATCACTAATTTTCAAGCCATCCACTGATTGGAGTTTCTCACTGGTGCAATTCCTCAACATCATCCCGCTGATTGATGGGTTCCTCGCGGCGGCGTGACATTGATATTGAGGCAGCCAAGAGGTGCAGGTATTGCTACTCCCTGGACCTCTCCTAGAGTGCGCTCTGATCAGAATCTCGCGGCGAACCTAGCCGTGGCGACGAGGGCCTCAACGCGAAAATGAAGCAAGGATGGAGGCATATTGTTCCCAGACATCTGACGCGTTTTTTGTTTGTTATATATATATATAAACAAAAAAACAGCGTGTCTCCCCAGAGGTCTGAAGCTCTTCCCCAGGACCGGCTTTCATCCTGAGCCGTTTTTTTTCAAGGTCTTGGCCCAATGAGGGCCCCTCCCCCCAAAAAACACTGTTCTCCTCCTCCTCTTCATCCTCCTCGGTCCTCGGGAGATAAGGTTGAAGGTGAAGAGGCCGTGTTTTACAGGCCAGGTACACTTTACATAATTGTGTATCCACTTGCTGTTTTACAAACAGTGGCTTACACCAGGGTGTGCGTCTAGATTTGGATGACACGTGCAAAAAGGACAGTCTGGCGGCGGGTATGGCCGCGATAAGGAGAAGGAGGACGAGGAGGAGCAAGAGGAATAAGACGAACCATAAGACTACTAATACTATTAATTATAAGGATACCAATCATCTAAGACACATCAGAGAGTCATACTAATTATACGTAAGACGAATAATGATAATACGCATCATAATACTAGCAATCGTAGTGATACTACGAATAAGAATACTGAACGGAATACGACCACTAATAATACTATTACTCATCATCAACATAACAGTACCCATAGCAATTATAATCACAATGCGAATGCTAATAATACGACTTTTGATACTCCTACTACTACTACTACTGCTACTACTACTACTACCACTACTACTACTACCACTACTACGACTACTACGACTACTACGACTACTACGACTACTACGACTACTACTACTACTGCTACTACTACTGCTACTACTACTACTCCTACTACTACTACTGCTACTACTACTACGACGACTACTACTACTACTACTACTACTACTACTACTACTACTACTACTACTACTACTACTACTACTAACTACTACTAACTATACTACTACTACTACTACTACTACTACTACTACTACTACTACTACTACTACTACTACTACTACTACTACTACTACTACTACTACTACTACTTACTACTACTACTACTACTACTACTACTACTACTCAACATACCAATACTAACAAACAGGAGGACGAGAGAGGAGGAGGAGGAGGAGGAGGAGGAGGAGGAGGGAGGAGGAGGAGAGGAGGAGGAGGGAGGAGGAGGAGGAGGAAGAGGAGGAGAAGGAGGAAACCGAGGAGGGGGAGTGAGAGGAGGGGGAGGAGGAGGAGGAGGAGGAGGAGGAGGAGGAGGAGGAGGAGGAGGAGGAGGAGGTGTTCCTGCCCCCGAGGCGCGCACTTCGGGGAGGAGCCGGTCCTGGACGCGGCCGCGCCGCAGATCACCCCCAGCCAGCAGCAGATCATGCGCTCGGAAGGCGCCCAGCGCGTGCAGAGCAGCCCGAGCAGCTTTGCCGACCAGGGCGCTGGGCAGGCGTCGGCCAGGAGCGTCAGGGGAGGACAGCGAGGGCTCCCACGAGGGCGCGAAGTTATTCGCTCTTCGCGCTTCGCGATCCTCGTTCCTTCTCCCCCTCCTCTCGTCCTCCTTTTCTCCCTTTGGGGGGGCGGCGCGAGAGCGCGAAGTTATTCGCGCTTCGCGCTTCGCGGAGCGCGAAGCGCGAAGTTGGGAGCCCTTGGAAAGAGGTACTCATCGGTCGTTGAAAGTCGGTATTTTTGGGTTCCCTGTTCCCGTTCTATTTTAGCCGCCTTCCTACTGTAAGAGCCGAGTGGTGTTCCCCCGTTCCCTCCTCTCTAGGGGGCGGGCGGACACCCAATCTATTCTCAACGCCTTCCTACTTCATGCTTCGACCTACTTCTTCCGACCGATGGGTACCCATGCAGACACTTCCAGCGCATCGACAGCATCAGCACGGAGGTGCTTCGCAGCTTTTGGCCTCTGGGGGCCCTCTCCGGCCTAGGACCGTCAAAGAATCGACTCGGCATGAAGGGCCGCCCCCAGGGAACCCGCTGGGACGTTGGGGGCTTCGTATTGAAAAGCCATCACATGGGAGGTCCGGGCTTGCCCCGTTTTCGCCTCGGCCAGGACCTCAGGGGAGGAAACGGTACCGATGCCGCTACCCTTTTCGAGATCGTTCGTCTCTTCGTGCGTTTCGTCGTCGTTCCCCCCTCCCTTCCTCCCCCTCTTGTCCGCCAGTCTTTCTCGTCGTCCGTTCCTCCATCCTCGCCTGCCTCCTCTTCTTCCTCCTTTCCGGGCTTCTTTGCCGAGCGTCGCCCAGGGTATGTGCCACGCTAGGCTCCTTAATTCTGGGTGGTGCTAGAAGTGCCCCTGGCCCCAGGTGCCCCCAGCTTTTCGCTCCATTTTAGAGCACCCAGGGCGCTCTGGGCCTCGCGAGGGGTGCACTGCAGGTCGTTGGGGCCTTCTTGGAACTCCTGGGGGCACCTTGGGCCAGGGGTATTGTCAGCAACACTCGACAATTTTCCGGCCCGGAGCACTGCCGGAGAGGATCCCCCGCACCGCGCCCCTACGGGCCTCGGGCCCCCTCCTGTCCCTCGTGGCTTTTGCCGTTGCCAGGGCCTCCTGGGAGGCCCTGGCCGCCACCGCTGCATCCGCCTCGAGACTTTGGCCAAAGCACTTGGCATCGCTCGGACGTGTGCATGTTGTCTTGGCGAGGGCCATTGAGGACCATCTCCGATCATCTTGCGAGAAGCTATACACGCACGAAATCGAGAAATGCACGGGGCATGGACGTCCGAGCGATGGCGCGCTTCTCCCCCCCCTCAGGAGTGGCGCGCGCGTCGTGCCTGGCGCGGCGGACCCTCCCCTGGACGCCGGCATCAAGCTTTCCTACCCGTCCTACCCCTTCTTCGGCTCCGTCGTGACGGTGGGCGAGGAGGCGCCCGGGTCCTCGGCGTACTCCAGCCAGCCGGTGTCCTCGGGCTACCCCAGCAGCAACCGCCAGCCGGTGTCCTCGGGCTACCCCAGCACCAACCGCCAGCCGGTGTCCTCGGGCTACCCCAGCACCTACCAGAGCCAGCCCGCGGCGTACCCCGGCTATGTGCCGCACGCGGCGCCGGCGCCAGTTCCAGTGGCGGTGTCAGCTGGAGCTGCGGAGTCATCAATATTCATATCCACCGCGTCCCGGATTTTTGGGCTCCCTCCGCGAGGGACCCGGGGCGCAGTGGAGATGGGTAAATCGGGGGGGGCGACGTACGAAAGGGGGGGGGGGCGACGAATGGGGAGGGGTGGAGAACCGTGCCTCTCTCGTGCCCCTCTGGGGCCCCAGGGGCCCCCTCTCGGGCACAACAGGTGCACCTCTCTCTCCCCTCCCTCGCATGGACCGCTCCCGATTGTGTGTACAGCGCCCCAGCAAAAACATGTCCGGCCTCCAGGTGCATGTCCGCGGCGTCTCTGGTTTTCCGCATCCCTCGCCCGCAGGACTGCCCCGAGCGCCGCAGTACGGACGGTGAGGCGCCCCCCTGCGCGCCCCGGGCCGCAAGCCTGAGCCGCCAGGGCGGCGGCGGGAGTGGTCGGCGCCGTGGCCGCGCGTGCGCCGGGGGCGCTGCTCCCCGCCAAAGTGGACGAGTACCCGTCATCAGAGGCGCAAAAGGTCATGGCCTGCTCTCTCCTTCGGGGGTTGCAACCGTGGGACTCCCCACCCTCAGTGGGCCCAGAAAACGGCAGGGCAGTTTTTTCAGCGTGTTCGAAAAAGTGTCTCTTGAAAGTGGAAACGGCAAAAAAAGGCGACCGGCAACGGCAAAAAACGGCAACGAAACCGGCTGAAAAACGGCAGCGAAAACAGCAGTTAGCGAGGGCAGATCTGGGCGACGCACGGAATCGATTCGGAAACAGCTCATGACAGGTAAAACAACGGCGAATTGGCACAGAGGACCCCGGGGAGTCGGACGCGGTACACACGGCAATCTGAAACGACAGAAAAACGGTGACGGAAACAACGAATAACGACTCCAGAAGCGACAAAAAAAGCGGCAAAATGAAAACGGTGAAAAAACGGCCCTGTCGTTTCCAGAGCCCGCTAAGTCCCCATCCCCTCTTCATGTCAAAAACTGCAGCTGGGGCACCGCCCCCCTCCTGCCCCCATCTCGGGCGATAGCAAGGAAACGTTCCAGGACTTCAACGGTTCCAGGGCATCCCACGACGACGTTGGACCGCCGACGACGCTGGATCGCCGACGACCGCTTCCTCGAACGCAGTGTGTGGCAGGATGGAATCATAACGTGACGTAATGTGTGCTCAGCTTTCTGTGCAGCGCATGCTTTTAACATTTGCACAGAAGCTCAGCTGGGCATCAGAGACTAAGAGGTACACTGTTAAACAGGGAATCCCATATCTCCTCATGTTCCGCACCGTCCACGTTGGTGGATGTTGTGGAAATCCTGAGACGTATCCTGAGCCAATCTTATCATGACATCACTCTCGCAGAAGCCGTCCCCCTCCCTCCACCCCCTGGTGCGTGCCGCCAAGAGTGGGCGCGCTTGAACGTTCAGGAGCGAAAGAAGCGTACTTACGCCTACAGGAACCCACGCTGGTTTCGAAAGTGCGCGAGTTGCGTGAACGTTCGTATCACGAGGCTGGTCTTGTGGACTGAGGGCCGTACTCATGCGCGTGGTGGGGCGCGTACGTCTTTGATGGGCGGGCGAGAGGTCGGGGAGAAGAGCGTGGTGACGCTCGAACCGGTGTGCACACGGGAGCCGGCTGGGGGTCTGAGGTGGCCCAGCACGGTGCTGGCGAGCAGGAAGGGGGGCGAGGTCCGAGATTCTGGGCCCGAGGATGCTTGTTGCCCTCCTCGGCCGCCGGGGGCCCTTTCTTTGGGCCCCGGACCCTCAAGAAGGGATCCGGGGTGAGACACTCCGCCAGATGGACCCCGGGAGGGGTCCAGTGACCGAGCTGTTGAGCGGGTTGCGCTTCACCCCCCTTCGATGTTCTCGGGGCCCATCCCCCTCCTGACCCCCCGAGCCCCCTGAGGTGTGTACCATTCTTTCCTCCCTCGCGTGATCTTCCCGCCGCCTCTTTTTTTGGGGGGGGGGGCAGCTCTGGGGGGCGGATCGGCGCAGAGGGGAGCGCACCGGCCCCCCGCCCGCCATCGCCTACAGTCTGCACGAAGGAAATGGGTACGGAAAGAATGGGTACAGTCGGGGCGCTGAAGAAGGAACCCTTTTCGCTGGGGAGGGGCTCGGTGTTCCTTGATTGTTTTGCAGTTTGCCTTGGGTTTTCCTGAGGCTTCCCATGGGAAATCGAAGGTTAACTTATGGGAAGCAGGGGCCTCGTTCCTTATTTAGGGTTCCTTAGGTCAACGCCCCGACTGTACAATGCCCAACAGCAGTTCCTGTTCCTTTTGAACCGGACTCGCGGTCCGCGCCGCCGCGGCCTGTGTCTAGTTGAGACAGAAGGCCGCCTGCCCAACAGCGGCCGCTGTTGGTTTGGGACAACATTTGTTGTTGGGCATTGTACCCATTCTTTCGGTACCCATTTCGGGTGTCCAGATACAGGGGCCTGTTTAGCCCGCCCCGCTCAGGATCGTGTGGATTTGGTATCGGGGGCCCATCGCCGATCCATCGGCAATGCATCGCGGATTCCGGCTCGATGTGTCCCCCCCCCCTGAGCTGGTCCCCCCCTATCATTCCCTCTCATCAGAGTCCATGTTGTTCCTTCCCTGTGTGCTCCTTCTTCTTCTGCTGGCGGGAGTCGAAGACGCCTACGGCGAGTCACCGCCGCTTCCTCCATCTGGCCTCTCTTGTGTGTTTCCTGGGGCCCCTTGGGAGCTTCTTTGGGCCTTCTGGGCCGTCTCAGGGGATTCTTGGCCCGTCTGACGCCTTCAGAGGCCGTCGTGGTGCTTTCTTGGACCGCTTCAGGACCGTTTTGGGGCCCTCCTTGTAATTAGCCCCTCGGACGATCTTTCGGTCCTCTTGGGCCGACTTGGGGTCCTCTTGGGGGTGTCTTGGGTCAACTTGAAGCTATCTTTGGGGCCTCTTGGAGGTAACGGAAAGAGCGAGGTACGAGTGATGACGTTGAGTTAGGGCGAAGCCCTCTAGGGAGGGGTCCAGGGGAGGGGCGAGGGGGGGACGCAGGGTTGGTAATGGCCATGTTCAGGTTGGTGTTCAGGGTTTTTGCATGTTTTTCTGGTTTTCTCCGGGTTCCCCCCAAAGACAGCCCAAGAGCGCTCCAAGAGAGCCCCAGACCGCCCAAGACGGCCCAAGAGGCCCCCAAGAGGCCCCCAAGAGGCGCCCAAGGGGCGTCCCAAGAGGGCCCCAAGAGGCCAAAATCATTGATTGTCCTTGGGGAAACGTGCATTTTTAGCATAATACGGCTTTTCGGCTTTCACGGCGTGGACGACGGCCAAAGAGGCCCCAAAACCGCCCCAAGACGGCCCAAGAGGCGTCCAAGAGGCTCCCCAAACTGCCCAAGAGGGCCCCCGGACGGCCCCAGAGGCGCCCAAGACGGCCCAAGAGGGCCTCAAGACAGCCCCAAGAGGGGGACCACGAACCGACAAGTCTAGCCTTTCGCACCGAGACGCTCCCAGGAGGCCCCAATAGCCCCCCAAGATGCCCCATGAGGCCCCCAAGAGGCGTCCCAAGAGGCCACCAGGAGGCCAAAACAATTGATCTCCCATAGGAAAACGTACATTTTAAGCATGCACGGCTTTTCGGCTTTCACGGCGTTGAAGACGGCCCAAGAGGTCCCCAATACTGCCCCAAGACGGCCCAATCGGCTCCCAAGAGGCCCCCCAAACGGCCCAGGAGGGCTGTCAGACGGCCCCAGAGGCGCCCAAGACGGCCCAAGAGGGCCCCAAGACGGCCCCGAGAGAGGGACCACGAAACGAAAAGTCTAGCTTTTCGCACCGAGACGCTCCCAGGAGGCCCCAAGAGCCCCCCAAGAAGCCCCAAGAGGCCCCCAAGAGGTTCCCAAGAGGCTGCAAAAGGGCTCTAAAAGGGCCCCAATAGGACTCCCAAGAAGGCCCAGAGACGCCAAATAAAGAGCGATCGGTGACGTAAAATGCTCTTCACACCAAGGCTCCCGAGAGCGAACGGTGACGTAAATTACGCTACCGAGGAACCCCACATACTTAACTTAAATCTTGTGTGTTTGCTTAAGTTTATAATCTATGCGCAATTCTGCGTTCTCAGCCCTCGTCGCGAATGTTCCCCTATGTGTCATCCAACGCCATATTGCTTGAACCTCCTCCCTCTTCCTAGCCTTCTATCCTCCGTCGAGGACAGATTCGAGCCAGCCAGCGGCCGCGGTGAGGGACCACCCCCTGCGCACCCTCGATGGTGTCGAGAAAGTGCCACGCCTGCTATGCCCTGGACGACCGTCGTGCGTAGCGGCCGCGGTGAGGGACCACCCCCTGCGCAGCCTCTATGGTGTCGAGAAAATGCCGCGCCTGCTATGCCCTGGACGACCGTCGTGCATAGCAGCCGCGGTGAGGGACCACCCCCTGCGCACCCTCTATGACGTCGAGAAAGTGCCACGCCTGCTATTCCCTGGACGACCGTCGTGCATAGCGGCCGCGCTGAGGGACCACCCTCTGCGCACCTCCTGTGGTGCCGAGAAAGTGCCACTCCTGACACGATCTGCGAGCGTGTCACGGATAGAGGCCGCGCTGAGGGACCACCACCCTCTGCGCACCCCCTGTGGTGTCGAGAAAGTGCCACTCCTTCCACGATTTGCGAGCGTGTCACGGATAGAGGCCGCGCTGAGGGACACCACCCTCTGCGCACCCCCTGTGGCGTCGAGAAAGTGCCACGCTTGCCACGCCCTGCGAGCGTGTCACGGATAGAGGCCGCGTTGAGAGACCACTTTCTGCGCACCCCCATGTGGTGTCGAGAAAGTGCCACTCCTGACACGATCTGCGAGCGTGTCACGGATAGAGGCCGCACTGAGGGACCACCCTCTGCGCACCCCCATGTGGTGTCGAGAATGTGCCGCGCCTGCCACGCCCTGCGAGCGTGTCACGGATAGAGGCCCCGCTGAGGGACCACCCTCTGCGCCCCCCCAGTGGTGTCGAGAAAGTGCCGCGCCTGCCACGCTCTGCGAGCGTGTCACGGATAGAGGCCGCACTGAGGGACCACCCTCTGCGCACCCCCATGTGATGTCGAGAATGTGCCGCGCCTGCCACGCCCTGCGAGCGTGTCACGGATAGAGGCCCCGCTGAGGGACCACCCTCTGCGCCCCCCCAGTGGTGTCGAGAAAGTGCCGCGCCTGCCACGCCCTGCGAGCGTGTCACGGATAGCGGCCGCGCTCAGGGGCCACCCCCTGCGCACCCCCTGTGGTGTCGAGAAAGTGCCACGCCTGCTGTGCCTGGACGACTGTCGTGCATAGCGGCCGCGGTGAGAGACCACCCCCTGCGCACCCCCTATGGTGTCGAGGAAGTGCCACGCCTGCCACGCCCTGCGAGCGTGTCACGGATAGAGGCCCCGCTGAGGGACCACCCTTTGCGCCCCCCCTGTGG